TGGAACACTTTCTGAGTCCAGCTGTGTGTTTGTGAGATGGGGTGGTCTTATAAACCAGGAGGGGGTTGGGGTGGGGGGGGGGTCATTTTGGTATTTTCCAAAAGAATTTATAAGACACCTGTTTGTTGGAGGAAAAACAAATGGTGAAAAGTCAGCAGAGCAGCATTTGGTTCGTCTTTACAGACAGGCCGATCCCACTGAGTGAATGTGTGTGCCCAGAAACACGACGTGTGTTTCTCATTGGAGAAGAAACATCCTCTGATGACGGCCGGGGTCTGTGTTCCATTAGACGTCCATTTCACATTTGCATGCTAGCCCTGTGTCTGTCGCTCCAGTGGATGTAGCTGAAACCACAGCGACTGAAAGACTCAGTTCATCCACTGTATGGAAAGTATTTCAGAAAAAAAAACTCGCGTGCGCACAGGGAGGGTCTGTATGGGTCACGTGACCCATGTCTTCATTTCACTGATGACCAATCAGAGCCGTCGCTTTTCAGTATTAACACCTGACTCTTATTATCTGTCCATGTCTCAAAACATGGCCCAAATTAGAATGACATCATCACATTGTAAATCTATAAACTGTGCAAGGGTGGGCCGGAGAATGTGATTGGTTGAATATTTTTATTATTATTGTATGTTGGTTCTGCTGGTTTTTGACAGAGACCTGTCCAGGGTCGACCCATCTCTCGAAGATAAATCAGGTTTAGTGGAAAACCAAAAGAAGAAGGGGGATCACTGGAGTCACGGAATTCTCGAGATTTCTTTAAGGCTTGGAGAAATCTAGGTGTCTCTATCTGCACAGTGTCAGCTTTATTAACAATCTTTAAATATTAACAGAGCTGGGTGACGGCTTCATCAACACAAGGAGGAAAATAAAGCAGTAATTATTCCGATATTTCAGTTGGAGAATTGATTAGATTTGACCTTGGTTAAGTGGTTAGAATCTGTTTTCTGCTCTGAGGCAATGTTTTCATTAAAGTGAGTTTGACTCTCAAACTGTGGCTCAGGAAGGTCATGTTGTCAGTGACTTCAAACCACAGCTTCAGGAAGGCTGGTCCACTTCCTGAACAAGCCAATAAAAGAATAAAATCTTTGCTTTGGTTATTTTTATTTCAACCCTTATTAACTAGACCAAAAGACCGGAGAGGAAGATCGTCAGACAATAAAACACAGAAGAATACGAAGAATTTGTTTTTTAGTTTCACTAACAAACTGCAAAAGCTGTCGTCCTTATTTTTCAAATCACATAAAAATGGAAAATTACAGATAGGAGAAAGTTTTCATTATTTAAATTTGACACTTTCATCAAATGTTTTGAGTTTATTTTTTGGAATATCAATTTCTAAAATACATTGTATTAAATGAAATCATTTGGTCAGTGAAAACAGAGCGTCCTTTCTCTTTGTGACATTATTAATTAAAGATGAATTTGCATTTAAAATAAAGAATAAATAGGTACATAAATAAGTGCAGTCTATATTGTAATTTGGGAATATTTTTTAGTTTTATTTCTAATTTAGGACATTTTTCAACTTTACTTAACTGCAGCTTGTGAGTGGCCTATATTTGTGCAGTATATGACAACAATGTGGGTTCAAACCCAAACTCACTCTGTGCTCATTCGACCCAGTGTGGAGGCCACTGTGAAACGTCCAGGCTTGTGGTACTAAGAACAGAATGATAATTTAATTTATTTATTTTTCATCTTTAACTGTTTTCTAGTGATGTGATGCAACCATGGAGAAGAATGTAGGGCCTGAGGGGAGACGTCTCATTGGCTGCTCTCTATAAAACGCAGCCACTAACCCACTGACAGAGCCGTAAAGGCTGCAGAGAGATTCATCATCGTCCACATACAGAATCCAAACACAACAATGCAGAGGAAAAAAAGCCCAGATCATCCACTGGGGAAATTCCCCGCATCGTTAAGACAAATGTTCCCAACATGTTGTGGATTCCAAACGCTCAGTTATGTCCTAATGAGTATATTTCTGTGGTGAATGTGAATATATCATGATATAAACCAACCACAAACAAATCCTCCTTCAACAATGTTGATAATGTTTTCAATATTTAAAAAAATACCACTGCTAATGCAAGGTCAGAAGAGAGTTAATGCCCCAAGTGGGGGAGTGTGGGGCTAGAGCCATCATTCTGTTATTGTCCATAGACCGGGCTCGTTTCTCTACTGTATCACAGGGCAACATACGAAGACAACCAACCATTCACACCTATGGTGACTTTGGTGGGGACAGTTAACCTAATCCCATAATAATGTTTTTGGTCTGTTAGAGGAAACTCGAGAATCTGGAGAGACGAACCATGAAGTAGATACTGAGGCTCAAACTGTGGCTCAAACTGTGGCTCAAACTGTGGTTCAACCTGCCATTGTATAGTGAGTTTGACTGGGAAGGACAGGTGTGAATACAGACAGAAACAACAGAACGATTGGGTGGAGAGAAGGAAAGAGGCAGAGGTCAAAGGTTGTGACTAACGACTTCAACTCCTGTTGGCGAGCTGCTCCCTGATTAGTTTTCTTTTTTTACTATTATTATTGTCAAGTCCAACACGTGTGTCTGTTTATATGCCTGAGTATTTTGGGATACAGTTACATTCCTGCACCTGCAGGTCAGTGGAAACGTGATGAAAACACCCAGGTCTGAATGGAACTGTGATGATGTGGTACTGATTAGTCTGTACAAATCATCATCTGTCCACTGTAAACACTCACACACACACTCTCTCACAAACACACATTAGAGATATTTAATGCAACATTTGTTTTTGAGCCTGTGTTGAGGTCAGAAGAGAGTGTTTCCATGACAACTCACGGCTCCAGAGTCCATTCTTCTGTACATTCACGTATGTTTCTTTTATATTTGTTGTTTCCCGGCGACGCTTGCTGAATTCTAAAAAAAGGCCAATGTGGGGAGTTGACGTTAACTGAGCAAAATAGCCGTTCTTATGTGTCATTAATTTGTCAGAGTGTTTTTTAAGACCAACGAGCAGCTGCTACAGTCACACCTGATGTTTCATGAAAATACTTCATACTGTGACTGTGGACATGAAGCCAAAAATGCTCTTACACTCCCGACTGTAATCTTATTCCAGTGAACCTCAACTTAACTGAGTGGATCTGCAGCGTGTGTGGAATAGTTGTGACACGTCAGCCGACGGTTCACTCCCTTCAGGATTAGTAATGCAGGATTGCTGCAGTTTAAATGTGTATTTCAATTTCCTTTATTTGTCTGTGTGTCAGCTGTAATGCAGTAACTCAAGTCACTCCCTATTTTGACCCCCCCACACACACACACACAGACCTTCAGCCAAAAGACCAGTTTCAGACCATTTCTCAGATTTCCACCAGGTGTTCAGGTGCTGACAATCTGCATAAAAACAAAGACACATACATGTCAATGTGAGGCATTTGTCTCCCCCCTGATGTCCCTGGGTGTCACTCAGCCGGTTCAAACTGCACTCAGCTGTAAACATCTAGAAGAAAAGGCCCATTTACCCTCGCTTCTCCTCTCTTTATTTACAGGACTCTCCTGGAATAACCGCTGGATGAAGATGGTTTGATGTTGGCACTCCAGGTATGTACAAAAAAATAAATATATTTCAATTGTTTATTAGAAAAGAAATGTTGGGCCATGTGACCATGTGGACCAAACATTCAAAGTCCCCGCCAATCAAGTCCATCTGGACTTTCATTCTTCTTCTGTGGTTTTGACTCGGAGTTTTGTCTTTGGAGATTTGTATGAAGACTCAGTTCTGGAAACGTGAGCCGAGTCACAGCTGAGGCCACGCCCCTGATGTGTTTCACCATTTGTTATTGATCCGTTTTGTTTTCTTGATTTGCTGTCATTAACTTTGTAAACAGTGCTGTTTCTAAACCTACTGGTGGAGAAGGGTGTGGTACTTTTTTCACTATGAAAGTTCTTTTTTGAGTACTGACTTTACGTTTGTTCTTAAATTTAAATTTAGTCTTTGTGACTTTCTGCCAGAATCACGTGTGAGGCGGCAGATTTAGAACATAGTACCGTTCACGGCTGTCCACATCTGGAGTTACATGATTCCTAATTGGTTCTCACGTGGCCACGTGTTATTGGATGTGACTTCACCCACGCTGGATTTAAATTCCCACTGATGTCACGTCTGTTCTTCTGGAAAAAAAATCATGTTTTCAACCAGTCTGCCTGTGCAGATGTGTACATTGTGTGTTCGTGTGTGTGTGTTTGTGTGTGTGTTTGTTCATTTCTTAAATACAAACAGGAAGAGAGAGAGAGAGAGAGAAAGATTGGTTGTTTGACCTCAGGTCAGTGGGTGCATGGAGAGGTCACCTCATACCCCAGAAGGTTTCGACCTTTTCTGGTTTTGAAAACACGTTACCGCACAGTCTCTCTGTGTGTGCATGAGAGTGAATTCATTTCCTGTAATTTCCTGTGCGTTTTGGGTTCTGCTCTTCTTCGCCTCCAGTGCTCGTGCTCAGGTTAAAACCTCACATCCACCTGGGAAACATTTTGTACAAACGTGAATCTCTCCCCCCTTTTTCTGAGCCTTGAACCGGAGCTGTTTACGTGACTAGATGTCAACGCCATCGTCGCAAACCTCTGGGCCGTGTGTCCTCTGCCCGCCATTGAAACACAGCACAGGCCTGGGTTCACGTCCCCATTTGTAGACCACAGTTTCACTTCGATGCCACTGCAGCAGGCGCGTCACAGCCTGTGGCAGGTGTGGCCTGCCATTGTGGTCAGATGCAGCTGGGGCAGCAGCAGCAGAAGTCGATTCTGTAGGTGAAGAAAACAAATACGCTTTCAGATACTGACACAAGGGAAGTTTGCAGGGACTTGGGTTTAACACAAGAAACTTTTGCAAACATATGCAGTGGTTTCAGGGGGTGGGGGTGGCATTGATGAATTTTTAACAACTTTAAAATTGTTTGCATTCCTTTAACTGCAATTTCTGTTGATGCCACTAAATGGCAGCAGACATCAAATGTGCCAAATTTTATTTATATAATTTTACCCATCATTCTACATCCAACCAATACTGAACCGACCCACCAGTCAATTTTGAACCTCATTTTGACCTGTGAGCCATAGAGTTTGTCCAGCCCTGCTCTAACCAGGACAATGGCCTTATTTAAAAAAAATATACCACCCCCCGACCTCCCCTCTTCACAAAAGCCCAGAGAGAATTTCTTGAATTCAACACATTGGACTTCATAGTCAAATCTGCCGTTAGCCGTGTTTCAGATGTCATGGACTTAAACCCAGGGTTGCTCTTGTGTTTTTAATGGCTAAATAATTTTTGCTTTATAATTTTAATTATTTTTTATTTGTTTGAAGATCGTCGCAGGTCCCACATGCTCATTTAACTCATTTACATTTTTTTTTACTTTTAACTAATTTTGTGCCACATAATCGGTGCCATAACCTCAGTTCCCACTCTCCCAGCTTCATTTACGACCCAGTTCATCTTTTGCCCTGCGCTGAATATCCAGTGGATGTGGCCGAGTTCTGAAATGTTGTTTTGTTTTTGTTCTGTAAACTTGTGGATCAGGACGTGGCAGCGTTCCACTTGTTAAAGTGGTTAAAGCCTCACACCCTGGTATGTTTACAAGAGGGTTTATGTCATTGGAAACACATGGAGCATAAATATAAATTCCTAAATTTGTCTGCTTAGGTTTTTTTTCCACCCTGAATGCCGTCAGAAATTCAAACATTCTTCTGTGGAAAAGTGTGAAAAAAATGGAGGCTCTGGTCCTGATGTGACGTCCAGAGGTTTGGTCAATGGCTGCCTTCACAGAACTCCACCAAATAGTTGTCAACGAGGGGAAATACATATATCACTACAGTAAATCACAGTGCACTGACCACAGAGGGAGTATAACACACACACACACACACACAGAGGGAGTAACCCCGACACCATCCACCAGAGAGAATGAGCTCAGGTCCAGCTGTGTGTGTGTGTGTGTGTGATGATAAAATTGCGACGGCACTGACCTCAGCAGCAGCGTCAGACTGAAAGCAGAAAATGATGTAACGTAGCACACGAGGAGAGTAAGACATGGATGAAGCCAAGCACGAAGAGTGTGGGAAAGAAAAGACTGAGATGAGACTAGAACCTCAGATACCGACTCCAGTCAGATCCCGCTGCCGTCTCCAGCAGGTGGGGTCTAAACTGTTCAAATCACACGCTGTGTACTTACGTATGCACGTCTCTGCTCGGAGTCCAAGATAACATATGTTAAACCTTTACAGGTTTTTACAATGTCCTTCTACCTTCCAGCTCAGGCCATAAAAATGTTTTATTTTCTGACTTACAAAAGATTTTTATGGATTTCTGACCATTTTAATGCTTTGGCTAATTCACTAGATTTGGAAGGAAATGACTTCTGATGTAAACCTGCCTGCTAACGACAGGCCCCTCGTGGAATACTGTTAACACACACGCAGTGTGTGTGCGCTACACCAATGGATGTTTTTATTTTCCCCTTAAATTTACACTTATCACGCTGAGGCATTAACTGAGAGGCTCGTTCACCTGAGTATAGCACCAGGCCACTGTTTGTAACACTACATGAGGTAGTAGAATATTGTTACGGTATCGTGAAATGAAATATCACGATATTTCAATGTATTGATATTTTCTTACTAAGTAGAGGTAGTACCAACTCTAACTCTGTCATTTCAAAAACAAAATTTAGAATTTTTAAGTTTTTATTTGCATCTGATTGGCTCAAATTGTGTGCACGTGGAGCCGACTCATCTACTTCAACCACGTCCAGTTTATATTTACTCTTTATAACAGAAGACATCTTTCAGTTTTGATTAATTTTGTCTTCTTCCCTGAAACCCAGACGTGACACAATCTAGAAAACGATTCATGAAAAATAACTGATTGAATCATTTTTGTTGAACAACAAATAGGTTTATATCTGCACCTTTGTCTCACTGATCATCTGGAATGCGATGATCTTCCTAATGACATCACCATGATGTCATCATGAGACTGGTGGAAGTTATTTCTTAACTGTTCATGACAGGTTTCAAGACTAACCCTGATAATAATAGATACAAAAACACATTAGCCAATCACCATTCCTTCTTTGTTTCAGTTGGCCGGGGTGTTTTTCTTTAAATGTGATGCACGCGTCACATATTATTAGCAATGACGGAGATAAACTCATCAGAGTTTCTGAAGGAGGCTCAGGGATTTGGACGGAGCGCAGCAAACCTTCAGACCGTCTTCATCCTCACTCTCCTCCAGCCGCAGCAGCCAGAACAAATCATCGTCATCATTGGCCGCAGGGAGAAGGAAGAGCGCCAGGATAAGAGTTAATCTTGGCCCGGAGGTTGTTCCTCTCTCCATCCTACACCGCTGCTGGCCCATGTCCGGTTTGAGGAGAATGGAATGGATGAGCTGGGATTTATGCTCCTTCAGCAACAGGAGATTGAAGAGTGTTTTGCCCATAACTCTGTGTAGACTTGGCCCGAGTACAAGATCCAGGATCAGGCCTTAGAACCCAATGGTCAGAACTGTTTCATGATGTGGGGAGAGCAGATTTCCAGTGTGATAGAAGGAGAGAACACAAAGACAAGATTACTGGAGCTCAGTGGTTCTCAAACTTTATTTATAGTGCCCCCTTTGGTACTAACCCTAACCCTCTCACTTAATTAAACCCTGCAAAACTATTCTTCTCATTGATCAAACACTTGCTGCATAACTCCAAGCCCCTGAGAGAATCCCCCGGCCCCCATTTGGGAACCATTGCTGTAGCCTGTGGAGGACAAACATGGTTTACTTGGTGTCAAGATTTGGTATCCTGAGGTTTCATATTCACACCAAAGACATTCTTCATCATCATCGGCATAGAGTCAGAGGTTTTGTTTCTTTTCTCATTTCGTTTTATGACAGGTTTCAACTCATATCCACAGGCAGGACAGTTAACCCCAGGATTTACACGCTAGCCACCTTTGTGTCTAAATGATGCCATTGGCTGTAGGCCTGTGTGTGTCTGTGTGTGTCTGTGTGTGTGTGCGTGTGTGTGTGTAATGGATCATTATGTTCAGAAGTAAGCAGACTTGTGCCAGATCGCACAGTCAGGCAGAAACAAACTCCCGTTATTTACTGGAGAAATTGCCTTCATTTGAGTTAATTTACTCTTGATTCATTTTCTCACTTTGGTCTTTGGTTGAAAACCAAGTCAGTTTTCAATTGGAGCCAAATCCGTCAGCACCAGCGCCCACTGCAGGACAGCAGAGTGACAGTGTTCGTAGCGCAAAGAGGATTTTATAAGTATAAAAACGTTTTAATTATTTGAATTAATTTATTCACAACTAACTTCAGCCCAAATATAAGATTATTTAAAAAACTCTTCTGTCTGATTCAGTGAAGCCACTGCAGCAGCGACAGAAGCTGAAGTTCTGAGTGGCACAGCCGAGCCAAACCTAATTTATAACGTCATTACTATTTTAATCTAATTTACTTTTAACTCTTAACGGTTAAACTTCTCTGTGTTTATTTTTGTGTCTGTAACAAAAACTAAAACAGAGGAGTTTGATGTTGATTTCTTGCACATCAATCAGACAGTTTCGCTCGTCCTGTACTCAGTTGTTTCTCCTACTTTACTTTGAATAGACTGTTTTTTTTGGAGACGTAAAACCTACAACAGAAACCATAAATTTGGTGAGAAATTTTTGAGTGTTAAATGTTTTTTTGTTTTTTTTTCCCACAGACGGAGATGGTTTTCAAACATCAGAAGTACTTTTACTCCTCCAGGGCTTCACTTTTGCGACCTGATAGAAACATCCATTTTTTACTGTATTCTTTATGAGTTAATGTGCCTGTGTCGTGACAGGACCTAAACTTAAAGACTCTCTGTTGTGTCATCACCAACACATGTTCCTTCGTTTCTCCATCTCCTCTACATCATGTCGTGTTTTTATTCGCCAACGCTGCTGCTGACCAATTTTCAGGGGAGGCAAAACACGGAGACGCCAATGAAAAGTGACGTAGTGCTGACAGGGTTGCATGGTTTGTTTTGAACTTTAGTATTTCATGCCCATCCAACAAATCTGAACTAATCTGCACAGAGACTTGGACCTAAAGCCAGAGAATGGGCAGACGAGGCAGAAGAAATGTGTTGGTGGTTGCGCAGAAAAAAAATGTTGGAAAAAAAATGGAGTGAGGTAAGATCCAGCAGAGGGAAAACAAGGAAAAATGTTAAGCAGTGTGTTTTTGTGAGGGATTCTGGTCGTCACGGCAACAGAGGGGGAAACCCACACAGCTGTTGTCCAGCTAATGTTACAGTCGAGTCCTGTGAGGGAAACGTAGACGGTGTTTAAAAGCTTTAAACTAGAAACACAAGTCTGTTTTCATCAGCGTGATTCTCTACAGCCTCTGGAATTCTGGGTAGAAAATAATTGGTTTAGGTGACTGTTCCTCCCAGAGGTATCTCAAGTCGTATTCTTGATTAATATGTCAGTTTTAAACGATAACAGAGCGAGAGACTAACTGTGGAGGACGTGCTGTGCGTCACCAAGTGTCACAGCTTCATTATCACATTACATGAAGATGTTCAGAGAGCGATCCTCCTGTGACTTTGACCACAGTGACGGTGGGGGAGTGGGACCAGAGGTTTGGAGGACTGGACCGGGATGGATTGCAGGACTGGTGAAACTTCTCCTCTGGGTCTTCTGGCTCCATACTGGCTTGTGGGGGTGAAGGAGGAGGAGAGAGCAATGGCAGTATCTCGCAGAGCTGAGGAGCACCAGGCTGGGTTTCATCATGTGGGAGGCCCAGTGCACTCCTTAACACGAAACAGATGTCCTCAGCCTCATCGGTGCCACTAAGACCTTTGCTGTAGAGTTGGACTATTTCCCATGTCCCACTCCATCAGAACCTCTCTCCGCATCACTTCCTTTTCTTATTTGCTATTAGTTTAGTGAAATGTTGGCTTTGGACGCAGGCAGTGTGCTGTTTTACAAAAATGAACTTTAGTGAAGTTGACTAAATTCACCTCATTTATTATCACAGACTTCCATTTTTATGGAAAGTTCTCATAATGTTTTGTTAGAATCCTGTATGGGATGATATTATATTCTACACGTTCAATTGGATTTAGTTTAATTAAAGTTAGAGAAACATGGACCAAAGTGATTGAATTATGTTTGTTATAATATCTGGCTTAGAACCTTTTGACTATAGTTATACTGTATTTATAAAGTATCTGCATCTCTGAGATTTTTCAGCTGAAACAGACACGTGCGTCTGTTTATATCGTCCACCTACTGAACTGGTCGACTGCAGAGTCTGAGACATTCAGACATAAGAAATCAACCTGTGCACACGGCACAGTTCACGTCCTGTTCCACATTAATAGAGTTTTCAATCCGTCCACAGTGAGAGGTCAGAGGTCAGAAGTTGCAGCACCTGAAAATGTCTCATTTCTGATCTCAGAGAGTTCCAGGTGCACGAGGCCCAACTTAAACATGACGGTGACTGTGACAAGCCGCCAAATAAAGGGTCCCACAAAGCAGAAAGTGTTGATGTTGACAGGGAACCTAATGATGATGACATCACACGCTGATGTCACTTTAAACATGTTTAAACACGTTTTTACTACATTTTATGATTTGGATTTAATGGACCCAAACCAGAGGGCATGGATGATGCTGTCATCAGGTGCGGAAAAACTGCAGGGCCTGCCCTGTTGCAGACAAGACTTTTGATGAGCCCCCGCCCCATGCATTGACTCATTCCCAGCTATGCTATTCTCATTAAACAAAGAAAATATGATTTTTTTAAAATCACTTTGTCTTTGCAGCCCTTCCTTGCTGTGTTCTTAAGCTATAACACTTTCTTAAAAGAACTTTTTGACTTAAGCCAATGAGGCCGAGCTACCCTTTCAAAACTGATGTGAAATCTGCAAGATTTAGTCTCTTAAATTTATACAGTATCCACCAATCCCAATGTTCTAAATTTTATTTTGTTTTGTTTTTTTTTTGTCATTTAAGGTCACAGAGGTCTGTTCTGTTTTGGCAGCTGTGGCTCAGTGACTTCATCTGTGTCCACCCAGCGTCGTATGAACAGAGTGTCATCAGTGGCCCCCAGAGACAGGTACATCTTCTCCATGTTTGCGCCCAATGCTGATCTTCAAGTGTCTGGAGCGATGGAATCATGGTCCACGACACAGATGTCCAAGTTTCTCCAACTGTGTTGATTCTTCAGCAGTCATGTGATGCTATCAGTGATGTCAATGAAATCAGCCAATAGCCCAGCAGGTGGTTGGTTCAACATGTGGTAGTTGAGGTTGCTCTGAGTAAACAGGACGGTTCTCTCAAAAAGAAGCATTTAAAAACCAACGTCTGACGTCGTAATAGCCGTCCGTGTGGTTTGACCATTTAGTCATGTGACACGTGGGTGCTGCCATTGTTGTTGAACTTGAGACAACTTCAGACAGCAGCTGGGTTTTTCCCAAAGTCATGAAGCCACAAGCACTTATTCCTGGAGAAGGAATAAAATCTTTGACTTGAAACTTTTCAAACTGAAGAAAAGGTTTTCAATTCTGATTTTTGTTTCTTCCTTTTTGTTTTGTTTCTTTCTACAACCTACACGTTCAATGTTTTGGTCCAGTCAGTGGACCATTAGCTGGTGCAGGCCTAGACTGCAGGTGGCACTGCCAAAGACAGTGAGCAATTTAACATTAAACTAGCATATTGTTACCTATTTTCAATTAATGGATCATCATAAAGAAAAGACTACTGAAGAAAAGGATCAGGAAGATCATAAGTTTGAATCCCGGTGGCAGCTGATGGAATGGTTGCTTCTGTGCTCCTGGAAGGTCAGTGGGTTATAGAATGCAAGGATGGATAATATTGTAACATTGTTTGTACACCTAGTAGTGAAGCTGACCCACAAAGACTGACCACAGTTCTGTACTACCTCTCCCTCTTCTGGAACCCGGTTCCATGGACCCTCACTGTTCGTCTCCCACATTCACCCTTTGTCCTTTACACGTTGTTAGTCTGAGCTGTTGGTTTTAGAACATTAGCGGTGTCTGATCCAGATGCTTTTCCTCTAACGTGTAAACAAGTTTGAGCCGACCTGTTTATATACACAGCAGTCTCATACACACCAGATGAACACAGAGGCTTTGTGTGTCCAGTGGATGAGAAACACCTGTGACCATACACTAAAGTGGGTTTTGTCCTGGGTTTGGAAGTGTAGACAACACACACAACAAACCAAAACAAGTTGTTTCATGGTCTAAAAGTTATGTCTCTGTCTCAACTACAGGTCATGTCTGCGTGTGGACAGAACAACAGCTTCATCACTGAGGTCAGGGCTGATTTTCTTCTTCACTTTTCTTCCAGTCTTTTTGTGCATTATTTATATTGACCTTTGTTTAACAGTCTTAAACTCTGCGGAATATCTGCAAGAAAGAGGAAGAGTGGGCTGCACGTCAATGCACATGGAGAACGCTAGGTGTTGGTGGCACCTGCCATCACAGCCCAGCTGGGACTGAAATCAGAACCGCAACCTCCGATTGCAAGCCCGATCCACCAACAACAGGTTAGTGCAGTAGTTTCCAACCTGTGGCTCAGGGGTCACATGTGTCTCCACAGGTGGTTCCACTGGTGGAGGATAACACCCCCACTTCACAAACAGAGAGCAGAGAGTCATGGGTTCAATTCCCAATGGAACTGAACTCTTGTTAACACAAGAATTGTTTGTATTATTATTTTTTGCCTCTGTAGCACACACAGAGGAGCAACACATGTTTCTTTAAAGTTTTTTTTCATTTTTTCATGTGATGCAGCAGGTGTCGTCATGTCCCTCATTCACTTCTCTGAAAAACTGTCAGCTTCAACAAGGCAGTGATTGTGTGCTGTACATAAAACAACATAAGTGGAGCAATAAACCACCAGCACTGAGGTGCACGTCACTCTGCAGAGGTTGTGTGAGGTTCTGTGGGTGAATGAGGCCAGAGCGTGCTCACTGAGTGTTTAGGTCTATTCAATGGATTCAACATGTTTTCATGCAGCTATAAGACCAGGCTGTAAATCTGTTCAAGTGTCTCACATATGGGCGAGATACAGTCAGCGTAGAACAGGTGTCTTCAGTTGGAGATTTGATAACTGAGATTTGAGTTTGTAGAACACTGTAATTTTTTGGCCTGACTCTGAGGTATTTGAAGGGATTTTGACCGACGCACGATTAAAGGATTTGGCTTTAAATCGCTTTTTTTCTTTTTTTTTGTTCATTATAGCTGTCTGTGAAGTATTTAAATTCAAAGCTGCATTAAATAGCTCTATACTCACTTCACTCCACCTTAAACCCATTTAAATTAAACCAGAAGGCGTAGTCACACTATATGGATAGATATAGATCCAAAAATATGAACACTGACTCTGAATGAATCAACGTGAACGTCGACTGGTTCTTATTGCATGATCAAATTATTAATCGTCATAATCAGGTCTATAGAACCCAGGACTCTGCTTCCGAGGCAGGTGTGCTAACCACCAAACTATGGAACCAACAGGTTGGTAGCAGGAGTCCTTGATGATTCTGAAGCACCAATTACACATTTCATTAACCCTGCAAGCATGTTGGTGCTGACTCTGAAGAGTTTTTGTCTTCTGCATGAGATGCTGTAGTCGTTGTGCTGGACATTCTGCTTGTCCACAGAGGCACTGTGTGGAAACTGTCAATCACAGTTTTAATAAATGAACGTGATTCTTGCTTCTTTCAGCGATATACGCCAAAAAGATTGCACATTCAGAAAAAAAAAGATTACACATATTCACACACACACACCTGCACACTGGCAGCTTTCACATTCGTGTGCAGACACAGCTGTGTAACGTGCAGCGTGGAGGAGGATGTGGTTTCTACTCCTTCTGTTCAGAGGAAAACACCTCTGATAGTTGTTATTCACCTCTAAGTTTGAACAAAAACAGCAGTTGGACAGAACTGACTCCAGAGCAGTTGGTGTAACAGAATGATTTTCCTCAAAGTAGGTGATCTAACTACGGCTACTTCAAATGTCCTCTGATCTCAGCGCAGCGAGGTTCTGATTAAAAGGTGTGTTGCGTTCGTCAAATCCAAGTGTGTTGAAGGAGTGAACTTCTCAGACTCCTGTTATGAAGCAGAACTTTCATCTTGGTCTGAATCATCTCAGATGTGGTTGAATAAAATCAACATAAATTACCACGAACGGAGCAGGATTTGAGAAGCGAGACCGCCGTCTCTTCATTCACTCCGTCTTCAGTTAGACAACAGTTCAACTGAATGGAGAGAATCAGTTACAAAACACTCAAAAATGACACAGGAGTGTCACGTTCCACTCCAAATTTTGATGTGAAAAGATGTTCAGCCGTTTCATGGTCTGAATCAGAGCTGTGATCCACTCATCCAGAGAAGAAATCACTGCTGGTACGCGTTGGGTGGAGCTGCTGTGGGTGAAGATCAGATAACTGACGCCTGTGCAGAAGAATGTCCAGTGTTTATTCAGCACATCTGACCATTAGACCAATTTAGGATTTTCTTTTTTTTTTTTTGTCAGGTTTTAAACTAATCAGCTGACGGTGGTGTTTACAGACACGGGTTCTGTTTATAATCTGCCATCTGCTCATGATTTACAATTGCACAACTGCTCTAAACATATATTTACCTTATTATCTCTCAGAACAAGTGTTCCTGGGAATCACCTTTGGAATGCACCATTATTTTTCTGTCACACTTTTGGCTTTTTTCCACAAAAAGGCTTAATTACAGAGAATGTTTTGATGATTATTCCACAGAACTTGGTCATCGTAAAAAAATAACACAGACATGTTGCAGCAAGTATGTTGTTGGGATTTGAACCCACACCTTTTGGCAAAGACCACAGTCAAAGAAAACTGCAATACCTGCGACATATGCACGGGGGCACAAAATAGGAGAAGCACTCTAGGGGCCCATGGGGCCCCTATAGAATTATAACACTGACATTAAATAATACAACACTAATTTGAATGGAAATAATAGACAAACAAAACCCAGTAGTGTGCCTCCTGTTGGCAAGTCTGGATTAAACTAGTGTCAGACAACTGTGCGTAGGCTTTAAATGCCAAACTGGGATTAGGACTAAAATGCTCTTAATTCTGCTCTCTTAATTCTGCTCTCTGACTTTGTGAGATTTAAACAACAGCACATCGGTGTTTCTACAGAATATTTCACTTCCCTACTGGATTCTGATGAATAAGGAAAAAATACATATTCTAACAACAGTTTTCTAGTGTACACTAGACTTGACAGAAATAGTGTCTAAGTATAGGCCTGGCCACTGGTGAAAACTACAATTACCATTGGCAATTCCCTGATTCATCAGCACTGAGTGAACAGACCACAGGTTCATGCATGCAGTGAAACTGGGTTTAAAAAAAAAAAACCTAATGTGACTCCATCTTCTGTCAGAATTTTTTATCTCTGTCACATTCACTAACACCTGTAATGAAAAAAGTAACTTTTTTTTTTTTTTGACAGATAATTGGTCAACGCAGACTGTGTCCTGGAGTGGTGGAGCACCAACTGTTATGTTGAGACAGTTTGTGGTCAGTTTTTTCTCTTTTACATCATGTTGTATTTGATGATAAGTCCATTTTTAATGTACCAACGTTTGTACACATGTTGGCGTAAAAACCTGTTGTATTAGGAATTTGTTTTCATATTATACATTTTTTGTTTGTTGTCACCTCATGGTGTAGTCACCCAACAGGTATTGTGCACATACTGTAGATCATGTAAATTTAGGAGCATTTCTACAGAATATGTCAGACATTACTGGCACTGTGCTTAAGCAGAACCAGAATGAAAAATAAATGAATCATTATCACACAACTGATCAGTGTCTGTGCTTGGTGCACTTTTTAAATCTCAAAATATGATACAGGTTTCAGCAAAACTTACAAACAACTGTGTATAATTGGGGGCATAAACCTGCATTTAATAATAATTTAATATTTTGTGTTTAAAGGTCCAAAAAGTATTTTATATGAATATTTCAAAAATCACCCAAAACCATGACTACAGGTCCAAAAAATATTATATATGAATATT